GAAAGTTGCCAATGCGTTGAAGATTTTTCAAGCTTAGATGGTGCTCTCGGTGGCTAGTCACGTTGATTTGGGACGAGGCGGACAACGCAGGTTTATTCTTCATATAGTGTTCCGTTCAGGGAAATGCGGTCATAGAAGCTTGCCATATATGTTCCCGAAACCAGCTGATACCATTGTTATTTTCGACCTTTATGGTCGCGTCGTTGTTAAGAAGGAGACCTTCGTCAATCAGAGTTACCGATTCTAAGTGTCCAGGGCGAGTAGCACAATGTGCGATGATTCCGGACACCAGCTGTTAAGCTCAAGTTGGAGGCTGCCTCGTCTTGCAGAAGGTAGTGCTTACAACTGCGCCACATTCACAAATGGCGAAGGCCTGCTCACCGCAATCGGCTACCGTGCTACTGTCTTCCAGATCTAAAATTACTTTGTTCTTATGAACTGGGAAAACATTAATTTGCTTTCAGACTAATTTCGGTTTTTGATATTTAATTAGGAAATATAACATATTGCTACTTTGAAAAGCTTTAATGCTAGATACTGATAGAATGTCTGCTATGCTAACATTTGTGAAGTGTTCATTTGCCAATACTTTAATTTCGACACTGTCCAGAATAAGAGTGCTCATTAGATTGATTTTTTCTAACGTTATGGAAAATATTAGGTCTTTAAGATTAGTGATAATTATTCGGTTCTTTGCACGAATGGTTTCGCACAAATTTCCTGTTCTATGAATTGTGTTCAGCGTACGAGCTGTAAAATCGGAGCTTTAATATCCGCGATTGCACGTGAATGAATAGTTTGCACCACTGCGAACTTTGCAAATTTGTCTACGCAGGTCAGAAAATATTTTTTATCTGTGAAATAAACATCAACATGCAACATTTCCTCTGCATATGATGGTATTCGCGTCTGTCCTATTATTTATATTTTCCCATAGCGCAAATTCTGCAATTTGCTGCTATTTCCGTCGCTAGTCGACTCGTTTTGGGAAAGAAATAATGGCATACCAACATATTTCCGACGACATATTTTCGTCGAATTGAAAACGACATATCTCCGCGCGGACATATATCGTTTCAAAACGACATAGATATGACGCTCAAAAATGATAATCACGATTATGCTCTATCGTGGCTATTTCCCTCTGATCTGTGCTGTTATTTATGTCCGTTACAAAATTCTTGGGATATCAGAATATGGTTGAGGGGAATGGTTCTATTAGCTCGTGTTAAATATTCGCCAGAATAGGCAAATCGCAATGTATAGCGTTGACCACGCCCGCTCTTAAAATTTGCAAGAGTGTTTCGGTCAGAGAACTGGACAATGTGCATACATTTTTTCTTTAAAGAAATTAAAGTTTTCACCGAAGGGGTTATATTCTCCTCAATAACAATCTGATAACAGTTTACCGGTTTTTCGGTTGCCTCTATAGCGTAAGCAAGGGATTCCTTGCTATGCACTGTGGCGGCATCTGAATGCACAGAGTCTTCTAGGGCGTTATCATTGTGATGAGACAAGGCGTCTTCCACGAAGTTCCCTTTGCTAGGCTTTTAAATAAAAGCTTTCCAGCTTTGTATTTTTGCGTTCTGATTTTTGTCTGACACTGCAAATGTCAGAAGTCAATGAAATATTCAGTGAAAATATTCAAATTTTTGATTCCGTATAAGTAATTCCGAAGGTGTTTTAAAGCCCATACATTTACAAGAAGTTCTCTTTCATTGGTTGCAAAGTTTATATCATTATCGCTCGAAACCATAGTAATAAGGCGACCGCCCTGATACAACATTGCTCTGAGACCTTGGCCTTATGCGTCTCTTGTCAGGTGAAATGATATTTTGAAATACGAATTGATAACCTCCTCTTTTTTGAAATCGGTTAAAACATAAAAAATTGTAAATCTTAGCAACTAAATTTCACCTTATTATTAAAATTCCGCTTTCAATTACGAATAGCAATCAGCTTATAGAGTAAGTTATAGCTATTAAGGCCTTAAGCTTAAGATTGTTTTTTCACTTTTATTTATGGATCGATCGATAAAAAACCCAAACTCGTACTTTTTCTGTCTTAGGAGAATCTATTTATACTTTCTGAGATCTTTGCGTTCATACGGACGGACGGACATGGCTATTTCGACTCGCCTTGTCATCCTGATCGATAATATATATACTTTTGGGGTTCTGCCACCCCTCCTTCTGTAGTATACCCATTCACCCTTTATGTACAGGGCATTATTAAAGTATTTTCATTTTGCAACCATTCCTGAGCTAAAAAAAACATTTACTTTAATTTGCAATATTTTTCAAGAAATTCGAAACTCGAGGGACACTTAAAATATTACGAATTATCGAGAGTTTGAAATATCAAATGGTTCGAAATATGTGAGAGAAAATAAATAGAACTTCGAATTATTAAGTGCTGTACTATTATTATTTACTTGTATTAACTATAACTATGACAATGTCAGAAGAGTAAAAGTAACTGAATGATAACTAAACAATTTGTGTGAAATGTGTGTCAAATAGTCAAACTAATCATAAAAAAACAGTTACCGGGACGGATCTTCAGCGGTGACCCTTAGATTCGCAGAAGTAGATTTTTGGGTCTGCTTGGCGGTATGAATAACGGCGCGGCGGGAGGGACTAGCACCTGTACGTTGATACAAGTTTGAACTTGTCGCAAAATAAGTATACAATCTTCCCGCCTCTTTCTCTATGCAACTTTGAATTGTCGTCGAGTGCTGGACGCCGATGAGTTCGAATTAGCGCGTCGTTTTGTTATATAGCAATGATTTTTTCGTTCGAATTACTAAATGCATAAAAATGTATTGATTTAGTTCGAATTATAAAGAGATTTTGGAGGGAACTTTGAATTATAGAGAGCTTGAATTTATTACAGGTTTGAATTAACGAGAGTCGACTGTATTATATCTCTTGCAAAACTGAACATAACTGTGAAATAATTAAATAATGACAAATAGCGGAAGTTAGAATATTTTATAAAAATCTTGTAGTAGATCACATGAGTATATGTAGAAAGAAATAAAAGGAATATGAAAACAAGTAGATAAGCTAGAGTCGGGTGTCCGAACTTTGAAATACTCTGTACATATGTGTAGATTAATTATGCGTGTGTGTGTTTATGTGTGTCTATGTATGTTTCGTAAGCAGTACCAAACACAAAAGCTGCGGGCACTGCTTGGTCATCTATATACATAAAACAGCTTGTCCTGACTGACTGACTGATTGGTGATCAACGCACAGCCCAAACGAGAAAAGCTAAGAAGCTGAAATTTGGACTTAACTATCCTTTCATAGTGTAGGCTGGCGATAAGAAGGGATTTCGGAAAAAGGGGGGAAATCATCTGCTTAACTTCAAACTTAGTTTGTATACCCCCAAAATTCAAAGAAAAACTGCATACTTGTTTTTTTGAAATTTTTCTTGGGGCCTGAAATATGGAAGTTTTCCTGTAAGAAAATGTTGGGGCACAAAAGGAAACAGCGTCCACAGCCCACAAACGGTAAAAGCTAGGAAGCTGAAATTTGGGCTCAAGTATCCTATCATAGTGTATGTAAATATTGAATAACTTTGTCATTAGTGAACCGATTGACTTGAGTAGACCAATGTTGAAAACTTCAGTTCAAGAAATTTTACAGAACGAAATTAAATAAAAATATCTCATACTTGAAAATCGGTTTGAAAGATATTCAATGTTTACATACCGACATAAAAGATGGCGCACCCTGTACATCTGCCCGCAACGCGAATCAGAATATGCGTACAGAATATATGTACAGGGTACATATGTATGTTTTTTATATGATTTGTTCTAATTGATCTCAATAAATTATAAGATGTTATTATTTAAATTTTCTGTTAATTGCATTCAAACTTCGATGGAATTATTGATTGTATCGACGGATTCAACTATCGATAGTTTATCATTGTTCAAAATATGGCCAAAATAAGACAAGTCCCGATAGACAGCGTCCATCTTATTTTTGCGTAGGCGTATTACCCCGAATAAACAAATATCTCATGGCCACACGATTACCGAACTTTTTCAATTTTTACAAAAGCATTTCGTATTTAAATCACATTAAGCTTTTCAATATACTCAAATAATTTAAGCGATAATTTGTAAAGTCGAATATAAAATTGAACAAGTAAAAAAGCTAAAGTCGGGGGTCCCGACTTTGAAATACTCTGTACACACATATGTTACAATAATTATAGAAAATAAAAAAAATTAAGAAAATTAAAAAAAAAATATGATCGATTTTACCTTTCTCGGTATTCGAACTCACGTAAAGGGTGTATAATTGCACATTTACATAGCAATTGCGTCTGTGTGAGTGTATGTATGCCTATGCGCATCTATTCGTGTCTGTGTAAACATGTTAGCAGTCAACCAAACAGCAACATCAACAACAGCCGCGGGCAGCGCTTGGGCAGCGCTTGGGCAGCGCTTGGGCAACGCTTGGGCAACGCTTGGGCAGCGCTTCAGCAGCGCTGCAGCAGCAAATCGGTCTATCATAGGGAAACTTGGCATACGGACACATAATAACTAACTGGGGGTATTTCCAAAATTTTAGTTTGAAATTCCAAGAATTGCGGGAGTTACGATTTGCATGGGAGAGGGGGAGGGAGGGAAATTCCAAAATATACATTTTCTGCGTATTCACATAAGGCATCTTGGACTAAAATTTGGTGTCTCTATCTCTTATAGTCTCTGAGATCCAGGTGTTCATACGGACGGACTGACGGACAGTCGGACAGTCGGACAGACAGACAGACAGACAGACAGGGCTAGATCGACCCGTCTCGTCATGCTGATCAAGAATATATATAGTTTGTGGGGTCTGCCACGCCTCCTTCTGCCTGTTACATTTTTCAGCTCGCGCAAACCTAATATACTTCTGTACATTTCATGTACAGAGTATAAAAATATAAATAACAAATATAGATATTGTAAAATAAATCTTTTTTGTAGATACACATACCTTATGCAATTATCTGGATCGTTTACACAATCGGTATTGCATCTAAAACGTTCCCATGACAGCCATCCCATGGGAGGTGTTCTGGCAAGTCCATTTTCCAACCCGTTGCAAAGTTTTACAAGTGCAATGGCAAGACAAATAGCAATGTACATAATTTTTCTAAAACGTTAAAAGTTTATAAAAGTGTAAATATATTTTCTTAAAATTTTCACATTGCATTGTGATCTATTATTATCAATTGAAAAAGTACATAATAAACCTAGATTGATGCCTTAAATTGGGTCTATCAGAGCAAATATATGTATGTGGCTATGCAGAACATTCAGAGCGAGTGACGGTGATACCATATCTCCATTGATCGCAGTGTATGCTAAAATGGCTTAACTAAGGTTAACATTCACACGGTTCAATAGGAAAATCATCTATTTCATTTTATTACATCACCAGCAACTAATTACAGACGATGGCACGGGTCCTTCTTTGCAAGAGGGCTTATGGGGAAGTACCGTTTTATCTGCGACGTAAACAACATTTACAGTCAAATATTGGCCAAAAACAGATAAGGCTGATTCAATAAAGACACAATTCGATAACAACAATTTCAGCACCAACATCGTGTGGAGTTCAAGTTTTCTATTTGGACGCGTCCCCACGTGGGTGACAGAGGAAAGCCTGGCAGATATACCAAGGAGGTGGGAAATAAATTCCTCCAACAAACCAAGAACTTACAGAAAGAAGTCCAGAAGCGACTGCGCCAGATTGGTCAGCTCCCTGGTCAACGTCGGCAGCCAAACACTGAGTCTTTCCGCAGATCAAGAGACTAATTAGCTGGTAGGTGCAACATTCTGACACTAGATTAAACCTAGCAAATTTCCAGGTACGTTCTTGTTTTACAAGCTGTCCACCCCAGGTGCCAGTTCAGATGACTCCTGACTTTACACGATTTCTCATAAGAACATTACGATTACCGAAAATATTTTACGATAATAGGAAAGGCCACAGATGGCCTGTTGAATGTTGAAATTTGCAGCAAAAATATGACAGGTTGTAAATAACAGTGGGCTTATCTTTCTAACCTCCTATGTAGTACGGTCAAGCTGTAACCCACAATCCTATCAAGTGTTTATACCCTGTACCCAAAGGGTACAAGGGTTTATTAGTTTTGTGCGAGTGTACATGGAACACACAGAAGGAGGCGTGGTAGACCCCACAAAGTATATATATTCTTGATCAGCATGACAAGCCGAGTCGATATAGCTATGTCCGTCTGTCCATCTGTCTGTCCGTCTGTCTGTTTGTATGAACGCAAGGATCTCAGAAAAAATAAGAGCTAGAATAACCAAACTTGGTGTACAGATTCTCTGAGCCGAGAAAGGACGAGTTTGTTCATTTTTCTCATACATGTATGGAATATTTTATATTTAATTTCGTTAATTAATTAAATTAATTTAATTTAATTAATTAATTTAATTAATTAAATTAATTTAATTTAATTAAATTAATTTAATTTATTTAATTAATTTAATTAATTTAGTTAATTTAATTAATTTAATTAATTTAATTAATTTAATTAATTTAATTAATTTGATTAATTTGATTAATTTAATTAATTTAATTAATTTAATTAATTTGATTAATTTAATTAATGCGCATGTATGTAACACACAGAAGGAGGCGTGGCAGGCCCAATAAAGTATATATATTCTTGATCAGCATGACGAGACGAGTCAATCTAGCCCTGTCTGTCTGTCTGTCTGTCCGTTTGTCAGTCTGTCCGTCTGTGCGCTATGTGTGTACGCTATTCGAGTTTGTTTTATTTTTTTGATTTTCCCCCTACTTCCCCCTATGGGTGTTTTCCCGATTTTCCATCCGTATAATCGCCTATAGCTCATAGAGTATAAGACCTAGGGACACAAAATTTTAGTCCAAGATGCCTTATGTGAATACGCAGAAAATGTATATTTTCGAGTTTTTCATTTTTAAAAGTGTTAATTTTTATAGCCTGTACCCAAAGGGTGAAAGGCTATACTAGTTTTGTGCGCATGTATGTAACACACAGAAGGAGGCGTGGCAGACCCCACAAAGTATATATATTCTTGATCAGGATGAGAAGCCGAGTCGATATAGCCTTGTCCGTCCGTCCGTCTGTCCGTCTGTCCGTATGAACGCAACGATCTCAGAAAGTATAAGAGCTAGAATAACCAAACTTGGTTTCCATATTCTCCTAAGACCGAGAAAGTACGAGTTTGAGTTTTTTTTCGATGCACCCCCCCACTCCCCCGCAATTCGTGTTTTTTCTTATAACTTCCGTAATTCTCGGAATTATGAAATCAATTTTGGTAAGTACATCCAGTTAGTAATAATGTGACCGTATGCCAAATTTCATCATGATAGGTCAATTCTGAAGAAAGTTATAGCCATAAGTAAAATCGCTGCTCATGCGCTGCCTCTGTCGGCAGCGCTGCCCGCAGCTGTTGTTGTTGTTGCTGCTTTGGTTCAACTTTGTGCTGCATACATACACGCATATAAACACGCATAGGTACGTGATGTAAATGCATGCTGTTATAACTGAACATAAACAGGTATTCTCATTTAATTTAATTAATTAATTCATTCATTCATTTTTTTAATAATTTAATTTTTTTTTAAATTTTTTTTTTTAATTTTTATTTTTTGTGGAGAGTACAGGCTATTTTACTGTCGGGATTGCTCGACTGTAGCGTTCTATCTTGTTTTAATTTATATAATTATTCTAAAAATATGTACAGAGTATTTCAAAGTCAGGACACCCGACTTTAGCTTTTTTACTTGTTTTTTTGTAGAATATTTGACCTGGAAAACAAAAAAAGCTTGCCTTCAGTTCATCTTTAGTTAGTTTCCGACGACTAAGAAATAACTGGCCTGACAGTTCTCATTCAGACGAATCCATCAACAGAAGAAAGCTAGCAGTTTAAGCCATTAACTCCTAAGCGGTATTCATAAGACAGCTATTAGGAGGTTCAAGCATATGTCGTAGGTAAAATTCTATAGCTTGCTCAACGATGTATTTGGAAAACGAAATACTAAAACTCTAATATTGAATTTTACAATACACTATTCCTACACCAGTTTTAAACCCTAATAAATATTCGCAGTTATTAGTTATATTACTCACTAGGAGTTTATAATTCTCACCTATTTTTATACAAAAAATTTTAAAAAAGCAAACAGATATTACTTTTAGAAAATCTTAAAACTCGCTTTGATATGTAACACATAAATTTAAATTTAAATAGAAAAGCAATTAATTACACATTTATATTGTATAGATGTAACAAAACTTATATCAAATTAATATCATAATGCTTTTAAGTACAAATCAGAAACATTATGTAATGTAATGTACAAACGAAGGATTTATACATACACAGCTCAATACTACAACAATTTGAAAGCACGGCTTGGATTCATGTAAATATTTAACAACGCAATAAACATTAGTATCCGAAAAATGATAGTCGGGAATAGTTGAAATATGATTTGCTTCATTTCAATTACAAACGGATAATATTATTTATTGGTAATAATAATTTTACAATTTGAATATTTTTAGAGAGAGGAATTTAAATTTATGTCCCAGAGTAAATATTTTGACTTCCAATAAAATAAGCAATTATATTTGTATTTTACTTAAGTTCTAATTTTTATACCCGCTCTTTCAATTCTTAATTGATTCATTTGTGAGATAAACATGGATATAGTATGGAAAATATTTAATATATTTAAATTTCACGCTTTCAGTTTTCAACAGCAATAGGCAATGACAACAAAAAAGGCATTGAATACCAAAATCGAGAGAACTATTAGGTAACCTACCCCATCAAAATAATGAACATATTTTATTTCCTGTCCCTAAAGGATACTCTAGGTTAGTATGAATGTATTAGGAACATAAAAAGGGGCGCAGTAAGTCAGTATAACAGACGAGCCGGTCCGTCCGTACATCTATATGCACTTTCCGGCATCATAAGAGCAAAAATGACAAAACTAAGTATTCGTATTCTTCTAAGTTATTTTTTCAGATCAGTCAATAACCAACTTCCAAAGAGGACGGTCGCGCACGGATAGTAGTCGAATTCGAAAACAAATAACCAAAATATCAAAATACAAAAACAACTTACAGTAACGGTCACGAGGTCAGTAACTATTCGGATCTCGGACGTTCGAAACCCAACTTTGCTAACCACTTTGCCTTGTTGGCAGAATCAGAATCAGTAGATGGAACCACTCCCAATCAAACAATAACGAAACCTACAACAAGTGAGGAAATGGAATATGATACAACAACACCTGAAAAACCACCTCCAATTTTTATACTCTGTACATGAAGTGTACAGAAGTATATTAGGTTTGCGGGAGCTGAAAAATGTAACAGGCAGAAGAAGGCGTGGCAGACCCCACAAAGTATATATATTCTTGATCAGCGTGACAAGACGAGTCGATCTAGCCCTGTCTATCTGTCTGTCCGTCCGTATGAACACCTGGATCTCAGAGACTATAAGAGCTAGAGACACCAAATTTTGCACAAAGATGCCTTATGTGTGTATTCTATACGAGTTTGTTTTATTTTTTGATTTTCCCCCCACTTCCCCCCGATTTTCCATTCGTATAATTGCCTATATCTCGGAGACTATAAGACCTAGGAACACCGAATTTTATTCCCGGATGCCTTATGTGAATACGCAGAAAATGTATATTTTGGAATCTCCCTCCCCCCCGTCTCCCCCAAAAATCTCTAACTCCCGTAATTCTTGGAATTAGACCGATTTAACGAGAAGCTATAGCCATAAATATATTTGCTGCTGCAGCGCTGCTCAAGCGCTGCCCGCGGCTGTTGTTGATGCTGGTGCTTTGGTTGACTGCACACATGTTTACACAGACACGAATAGATGCGCATAGGCATACATACACTCACACAGACGCAATTGCTATGTAAATGTGCAATTATACACCCTTTACGTGAGTTCGAATACCGAGAAAGGTACAATCGATCAAAATTTTTTTTTTTTAATTTTCTTAATTTTTTTTATTTTCTATAATTATTGTAAACATATGTACATAGTATTTCAAAGTCGGGTCACCCGACTTTAGCTTTTTTACTTGTTATCCCTAA